CTTCAGCGTCCGGGCCCTCGTGGACTTGCAGTACATCAAGGTGAGTGCCCCACCGCCTTGTCTGGGCAGTGCCATCTTCTGCTCAGGAATCAGCTACTACTTTCATCCACCAAACCCAGCATGGTGGGCCCAAACCCGAGATGCCTTTTTCTTCTGGAGACAGGACCTGGCTCTGTTGCCCAGGCTGGAATGCGGTGGTGTGATCATAGCCTACTCCAGCCTTGACCTCCTGGGCTGAAGGATTCCTCCCACCTCATCCTCCTGAGTAGCTGGGACTACAGGTGTGCATGTGGCTCTGGGTTTTTTTTTTTTTCCTTATAGAGATGGGGTCTCACTGTGTTGCCCGGGTTGGCTTGAGACTCCTGGGCTCCAGCGATCCGCCCGCCTCAGCCTCCCAAAGCGCTGGGATTACAGGTATGAGCCACCATGCCCGGCCCTGAGGTGCCTTCTCCTCTTGATCGTGCACCTTGTTCTTCGTAAGGGCTTCCAGAGGCCCTGACTGGTCGTGTTCTCTCTCAACTCACAGCCTCAATCCTGGCCCTGTTTCTCCAGGCCTGGTGATAGGGTCTGCCTCCCAGCCCCTCTCTCCATGAACTCATCCCTTCCTCCTGCAGATCACTCGGCAGCAGTACCAGAACGGGCTGCTGGCCTCGCGCATGGAGAACAGCCCTCAGTTTCCCATAGACGGGTGCACCACCCACATGGAGAACTTGGCCGAGAAGTCTGAGCTGCCCGTGGTGGATGAGACCACGACTCTTCTCAACGAGCGTAACTCCTTGCTGCACAAAGCCTCCCACGAGAGTGCCATCTGACAGGAGGGCCCGGGGCCCCCCGCCTACCCTGCGGGGGCCTCCCCAGTGGGCCCACATGAAGAGAGGGAACCTGTTAGTCCAGAAAGGTTGCAGATAGATAGCCTGTCTGATTGAGCAGCCAGATGGCCCCCAGCCTGTGGGGGATCTGGCCTCTGCCAGGGACCTCTGAGTAGCTCTGAGGTGGCACTGTCCAGCCCTGGATAGATGGGGCAGTGGGCCAGCTACCATGAGCAAAGGCTGTTTTTTTACTGAGAGTATTTCTAAACTAGGCTCATCGCTCTTCTTTTTAAATATAATTTTGGGAAGGGAAGACAGGGTTAAGGAACTTTATTAAAAAAATTTTTTTTTTCCTAAAAACTATAAAAGAAGAAGGGTTTCTTGTCCTGGGAAGCAATGGACATGATCTGCTCCCAGCCATGGCCTTCCAGCTTGTGTCCCTGACTGAGGGAGCTCTCCCTTCCCCCTCCCCTTCCTCCTCCGGAGGTGGGATCCCAGAGCCTGCCGGCAGAGGCTCGTCTCTTGGAAGGAAGACAGCTCTTCACAGGAAGCAAAGAACCAACTGGCATGGAGATCAGCTGCCTGGGCACCTGCGCCGTAGCTTGTCTGACAATGCGGAGGCCAGGAGCTCCTGGGTAGCTGTGATCAGGGACATGATAATCCGAGCTATGGAGAGGAGCACATCTGCTGTCAACCGCTGTACCCAGAAATCTCCTAGAACTCTGCCGACAGCCTCTCCTGGTGAGTCAGGACTCGGCTGAGGACAGACACATCCCCCCCCCCCCGCCTCCCATCCAGCCCTTTGGACAACTGGCCCCTTCGTGACGGGGCAGACTCAAGTGTTAGGCAGGGTCTCAGGCCTTCGATTGCTCACCCCTGCTCCCCAGGCCCTGCCCTCACTGTTACCAAAGGTTCCCCCTCGGCAGGAGGGCATCTACGTTGGAGGTGACTTGTCTAGGTTCTTCCTTTTGGTTCCGGGAGGAACTGTCAGTCATCGGCATCTGCATTGTTAGCAGTCAGTACCACCCCCGCCCCACAATGAGAGTCAAGGCTGACTTGTTGACTGAAGCCTTTTCCCCAGATTCCTTATTTCGAATCCCCAAGCCTCAGTCCCTCTTGGGGATGGGGACAAGAGGACGTGTGGGAAGCCACGGAAGCAGGTTCTTTATGTCCTTTCCTCTGCGGCTGGCAAGGCTCACCTGGCCTTATCCACCCCCTTATGGAACCTCAGGAGAGGACAGCTCCTCCTAAAGGCATGCAGCTTGCAACCCTGCTTTCTCACAGGCGTGATCCTAGTGTGAGAGGTCGTCCTGCCCTTGCTGAAGTTAGTAGTACTGTACCAAGAGCTCTGCCCCCATGTGAATTGCTACCCTGGCGCCTCTTCCCTGGGGCTGAATCAGGCCCTGCTGCAGAACTCCAGGTTTCCCAGAGTCGGGGAGGCTGTGGGACCAAGGTCCCCGTTGGCCCTTCTGCTGGGTGCAGCAGGAGCTGGGTCCTGAGAGCCTGGCCAGTGAAACTGCAGGCCTTCCGCCTGAGTATTATTTATTCACTCCTTTCCTCACCCCAAGTGCCCTGCTCTCCAGGTGCCTAGAGAATCCTAACTCTTAGGACCAGGGATTGTCTTGCACCAAGTATGCCTACCCTGGCCAGTCTGAGGTCTCCTAGCCATAGAACTGACTCCTGGACGCCTGGAGAGAAGGTGGTGACACCCGTGGGTTCTCAACTTTAAGAAAAAAAGACACCAGACTTTTGTTCCCTATTGGGGGAAAGCCCTTAGTCTTCTCCAGGAGCAGCTTGCTCCCAAGTCCTTTTGGAAGCTGGCAGAGCTGTACTCCTGACAGCCTGACTGCCAGGTGGAGCAAAAGACGTTGGTGGGGGTGTGGGAAGCAAAAGGGGCAGGTGTACACACCTCCACAGTGACCTCTGTGCACACGGTTACCGCCAACTGGCTGACCCTCCTCTTCCCTGGTCCATTGATCATCCCTTCTCACAGAGGGTCATCATTATTTCCAAATACTGTTGGTCTGATGACTTCCTCTTCCCAGTGCAATTTTTCACTTCCTATTTCAACCTCTGGTTCCTGGGATGAGCCATACCCTGGAACTGTCCCGCCCGCTGTGTCTTCCGTGTAAGGGAGAACTTTGCAAATGGCATCCAAATGGGTAGGCAGGTCACAGCCGCCGTATTTATTTTGCATAATATTTTAATTTGTATATTTTTGTGATTTACTTTGGCGTTATGAGTTTGACTCTCGGGGAGTTTTGTTGTTATGACTCTTGTGTCTTTTGTCACAAAACAATGATAATATTTGCTAAAGGATATATGGAATTTATTTTTGATTGGTAATAAAAAATGAAATATGTATAAATCCTGGTGAGTCTACAACTTGCCTTTTTGTTCTGTTGCTATTTAGTGTGTTGTCGAGATAAAAGTGGCTGTGGCTGGCTGTCTCTTGTGATGGGGCAAGGGGCAATAAAGGATTCCAGGACCATTCAGCAGTGAGATGCAGTCGGAAATGGAGGTTCTAAATAGAGTCAAGGCTGTCATCACAGGGGAGGGTCGTGGCTGCTGGCAGACATATAGGACAGATGTGCTCAGCTGCCATGAGCATGAGTCCTGTGAAACAGACCCCACAGGGCCCTTGGCTTGTGAGTACTGGAAGGGCAGTGGGCTTCAGCAAATTGCCCCTCTTTCCTACCCATGGGACCAAAAGAAGCTGGATCCGAAAGTGTAATACTGTTTTATAACATGCAGCTGCCTCTTCGTCCACACTTACAGGCTGCTTGTGGTTTCAAAGTTGGAGTGCTCATCCCTTGAGGGACCTGAGTTCCGTCACTATACCCACTCGAAGTCGCAGCTCTGCAGGGGACTCCTGTGGTGCTGTATAGCTGCTGCAGGCCGGCTTGTGCGACTCAGTGTGCTGAGACCAGGGGCTCCAAGCATGCAAAGTTTAATGGAGTAGACAGACTGGGGGCATCTAGGTAGGCAACAAAGAAAAGAGAATATTCCAGATAAAAGGGGTACACAGGCAAACGTTTGTGTATAGGGCAAGATTTGTAAATTATCTTCATCCATCTGTTCCATATGTTTAAGCCCCTATCGCATGCCAGGTACTACCAACCCCTGTGTGAATTTAGTGAAGAACCTCCCCACCACCCCAAGGGGGACATTTGCTGTCTCCGTGACCTGGGACACGTCTCCTAAGTCTTGATGAGGCTCACCCCTTATTTCATTTAAGCCTCAGTTCAAATGCCATCTCCTTGAGAAGCCTTCCCTGATTAGCCCATCTCAATCAGCATCGCCCCAGCATCTGTCTCTTGATCTTGCCTTTTTCCCTCCATAGCACTTACTACCAGATATTAAAATATAGACGTTGGTATTGTCTATTGTCCTTGCACTAGAATCTATCCCCACAAGGGTAGGGACTTAATTTTATTCCCACTACAGTCCCGATACTAGAACAGTACCTGGTACATTGCAGGGACTCAGTGCAGGAAATACTCGTTGAATGAATAAGTGAATACATGTTACAATAGGGGATGTACTGGATGATGTGGGGAGAGCACATAGCTCGATTAACCTTGAACCAACCTAGTCAAGAAGGTCAAGGAAGATCACTCGGAGGGAGCAGCATATGAGCCAAGGCTTGAGAGATAAGCAGGAAGTAGCCAGTGGGTTTAAAACTCAAGAATAAATATTTAGATATAACATGGAAATGTCTTGATCCAAAAGAACACTAAGGAAAATGGCCCAGGGAGGGCCAACAATGGTCTGAAGGTCAAGTGGCTATGTCTCCATTGATGCCAACCAGGGGTGGGGTAAAGAATGGCACAGCCACAGGAGAAGCTGGTGAAGGACTGTCGAGGCCTCTACTGCAAATGGAAAACCACTCCAGGAGCAGGTTTGCGTGCCCCATACTGGATTGTTTTGTATCTTTGTGTACTGACAATTTAAGTGACCACTTACGTTTTCCAAGTTTGATCCAATTTTCTTCTACCTGAAGCTTTACTCCCAGAAAGTTAGTTATAGGTTGGTGGTTTTCCAAGGAAGCCTGAGACAAGGAAAAAGTAACATGTCAAAGATGAGAGCTCTGTCTCTAAATCCATGGGGAGTTTCTCCTGGCTTTCCTCTGGAACCATTCTTTGTTAATGACTCTTCAGGCACATGACTCATTTCTTTTTCTTTCTTTTTTTTTTTTTTTTTTGAGATGGAGTCTCGCTCTGTTGCCCAGCCTGGAGTGCAGTGGCGCAATCTCGGCTCACTGCAAGCTCCGCCTCCCGGGTTTACGCCATTCTCCTGCCTCAGCCTCCCGAGTAGCTGGGACTACAGGCGCACGCCACCTCACCCGGCTAGTTTTTGTATTTTTTAGTAGAGCCGTGTTAGCCAGGATGGTCTCGATCTCCTGACCTCGTGATCCGCCCGTCTCGGCCTCCCAAAGTGCTGGGATTACAGGCTTGAGCCACCGCGCCCGGCCAACATGACTCATTTCAAGCATGTCATCCATTCTCTTTCAATGTCAGTATTTTATCTTGACTTGGAGACAGAAGTGAGAACTAAAGGAGCTGAATCTATTGTAATGTTTGCACTTTTGTTTTTTCTTCAGAAGCATGATGATGATCCAGTGGAAAGCCCCCGTAACGTCTGTATTGCTTCTGCTGGCGGCTTTACTCTGTAATCTGCAAAAGTAAGGTAAACTCAAAGGGCACAGACCATCATCTGGATAATGAAAACTGGAGCACACAGAGATGCCCCACTGGCCTGGTCACAGCTCTGGGTTTACAATGCAGAAGAGACACTATTACCATCTTCTAAAAATACACTATTATCTTTTTTTTTTTTTGAGACGGAGTCTTGCTCTGTCGCCCAGGCTGGAGTGCAGTGGCACGATCTTGGCTCACCACAACCTCTGCCTCCTGGGTTCATGCCATTCTCCTGCCTCAGCCTCCCGAGTAGCTGGGACTACAGGCTCCCGCCACCACGCCAGGCTAATTTTTTGTATTTTTAGTAGAGACGGGGTTTCACCGTGTTAGCCAGGATGGTCTCGATCTCCTGACCTCGTGATCTGCCCGCCTCGGCCTCCCAAAGTGCTGAGATTACAGGCGTGAGCCACCGCACCCGGCCCACTAGTACCATCTTTTAAAAAGTTTTTTACAAAGTCTTTTCCTTTGGCCATTCACCACCAGCTTACTTAATTTTTTTTTTTTTTTTGCACATTACTTTCCACACAAGTTTTACTTTGTGGCCACAATGTGCATACTTTATTTGAATGTTACTTTCATGACATAGCAAATTGTTTCTATAGTTTTTATAAAGGTCATTTAAAATGACATGCGCAGTAAGTCAAAGTCTTCCTGTGCTAGGAAATTTGAAAAAACAAAAGTGTAGAGAAAAATACAAAAATTACTGAATCTGAACATCTACAGAGAAGTGTTAGCATCTGGTCTGTTTCCTTCCAATCACAGACAGATCATATCTAATGGGTAAAGAACCTTCCATACTGTCAACAGACCACACTGTCTTCTAAAATCAATTCACCAGTGCGGATCCTCTGGAATAGATCTTGTGAGTCCCGAGGTGGTACTTTCCTCCCAGCGGCGAGCTATGAGAAGTGGAATCACCAGAGGTAGTCATTCCGTAGACAGAACTGCCGCCTCCCTGCGTGGCTGCGATGCTGACCTGGGTGGCAGGCCGGGGGCGCCGGAACCCAGCACGCACACTAAGTCGGTCCGAGCTCCGCTCTGCTCCTGTAAGATACTAACAACCTGAGGTAGCTGTCCAGACTCAAGGCGGTATTGATTTTGTGTGTCTGCGTATTTATCGCGGGGTCCGCAGCGGGACCGCAGGGGCTGTGTCCGACGTCCCCAGACCTCCAGCAGGGTCCGGAGCGATGAACATCTTCCATCAACCTCACCTCCGGGCGCTCGGTCACTGGTTCTTACTTCAGCCCTCTTAGCCCCATAGGTCGGCGCGTCGAAAACCCTTCTGGCACCCGGTGGTCTTTCCTAAGAAAAAGGCACATCTCTCGCACATTTAACTCTCCGTCCGGTCTTTAACTTCAGGCGCGCCAGGACCCGAGGTTCTTCCGAGCGGCAGCTCCGCTCCCGAGCCGGGCACTTCCCAGAGCATTGGCGCGGCCTCCGGGCGCGGGGGACAGCCGGGCGCCGCGCGCGGGCCGAGGACAGCCGGGCTGGGGAGGCCCTGCCCGCCGCCCCGCGTTCTCCCGGCCACGGCCACCCCGCGCATCCGGAGCTGCCGCAGACCCGGCCGGGCCCAGAGCCCCACGCCCCCGGCCCGCCCCTAGCGGCCGCTTGTTTACTCCCCGGCGCAGCCTAGTCCGACCCTGGGGCCCGCCCCTGCCCACCGCCTATTGGCCGAGGAAGCGCGAAGACCGGCAACGATTGGCCCGGGGAGGCGCGGGGCGAGCGGGGTAGGCTGCGCGAGAGGCCGAGAGGGGGCGGCAGGCGATGGCGGCGGCGGCAGCGGCGGCGGGTGTGTTAGGCTGGTTGTTCGCCGCGCTCTGCCTGGGCAACGCCGCGGGGGACGCCGCGCCGGGCCCGCGAGTGCTGGGCTTCTGTCTGGAGGAGGATGGAGCGGCGGGCGCGGGGTGGGTACGCGGAGGGGCGGCGCGGGACACGCCGGACGCCACCTTCCTCCTGCGCCTCTTCGGCCCGGGCTTCGCCAACAGCTCTTGGTCCTGGGTGGCCCCCGAGGGGGCGGGCTGCCGGGAGGAGGCGGCCGCCCCCGCGGGCGAGTGGCGCGCGCTGCTGCGCTTGCGCCTGCGGGCCGAGGCCGTGCGCCCGCACTCGGCGCTGCTGGCGGTGCGCGTGGAGCCGGGTGGCGGGGCGGCCGAGGAGGCGGCGCCTCCCTGGGCTCTGGGCCTGGGGGCGGCCGGGCTGCTGGCGCTGGCAGCGTTGGCGCGCGGCCTGCAGCTGAGCGCGCTGGCGCTGGCGCCGGCGGAGGTGCAGGTGCTGCGCGAGAGCGGCTCGGAGGCGGAGCGTGCGGCGGCGCGGCGTTTGGAGCCCGCGAGGCGCTGGGCCGGCTGCGCCTTGGGCGCGCTGCTGCTGCTGGCCAGCCTGGCGCAGGCGGCGCTGGCGGTGCTGCTGTACCGCGCGGCCGGCCAGCGTGCGGTGCCTGCTGTGCTGGGCAGCGCGGGGCTCGTGTTCCTGGTGGGGGAGGTGGTGCCGGCCGCCGTGAGCGGTCGCTGGACGCTGGTGCTGGCGCCGCGCGCGCTCGGCCTCAGCCGCCTGGCCGTCCTGCTCACTCTGCCCGTGGCGCTGCCCGTGGGGCAGCTGCTGGAGCTGGCAGCGCGGCCCGGGCGGCTGCGGGAACGGGTGCTGGAGCTGGCGCGCGGCGGCGGCGACCCCTACAGCGATCTCAGCAAGGGCGTGCTGCGCTGCCGGACCGTGGAGGACGTGCTCACGCCCCTCGAAGACTGCTTCATGCTGGACGCCAGCACCGTGCTGGACTTCGGCGTCCTGGCCAGCATCATGCAGAGCGGCCACACGCGCATCCCCGTGTACGAGGAGGAGCGCTCCAACATCGTGGACATGCTCTACCTCAAGGACTTGGCCTTCGTGGATCCTGAAGACTGCACGCCGCTCAGCACCATCACTCGTTTCTACAACCATCCGCTCCACTTCGTCTTCAACGACACCAAGCTGGACGCTGTCCTGGAGGAGTTCAAGCGAGGTAACATCCCGGGCATGGTGCAGGGGACGCCTGTGCCAGTGCCCTCTCCCTGAAAAGGGATGGAGAGTTATGAAAGCCTTCAGGAAAGGGTCCCACCCCCGTGGCGTGCGGTGAGACTTCTAAGGTCCCTTTTCAAGACGGTATTGGCCTTGCAGGTTGGAATCACCTTTTGAAATACTTAAAGGCCATCCATCAGAGTGGGAGAAATCCTTTAGACAGCGAACACGTTAACCCCCGCGTCAGGATGGCACCCCTATACATATCCTATTTGCAGGGAGGGGTATGTCCGCTTGGCTCTAATCCCCCAGCTCTTCCCCTCTCCCAGAGCGTTTCTCTGTGCTTGTCTTTGTAGCAGGTCCAAATGTTTGGCTAGAAAGTAGAAGAACACAGAGAAGAGGGTAGTCTCCAGGTATCTGGGACGTTGTGGCCCGCACACATGTAATATCAAATTGACTGAACGTGTGATGTTTCCTTCAGAGCGTTCTTAAGGTCTCTGGCTTTACTGCAGATAAGGGTATTTAGGTGTCAATCTCTTATCTGCAGTAAAGCCAGGGAAACTTACACTTTGCTTCCCCCAAAAGTAACTCCACGGATGCTGACTTAGTCTCCCTTTCTCTCGGCTCTGTCGCCCAGGCTGGAGTTCAGTGGCGCGTTCTCGGTTCACTGCAACCCTCGCTTCCCAGGTTCAAGCAATTCTCCTGCCTCAGCCTTCCGGGTAGCTGGGACTACAGGTGCACGCCACCATGCCCGGCTAATTTTTGTATTTTTAGTAGAGACGGGGTTTCACCACGTTGGCCAGGCTGGTCTTGAACTCCTAACCAGGTAATCTACTTGCCTCACTCTCCCAAAGTGCTGGGATTGCAGGCGTGAGCCACTGTACCTGGCCTTTTTTTTTTTTTTTTTTTTGCTTTTTAATCTCTTGTTTCTAAAAAATTTTATATAGAGACAGGGTGTCACTATTTTGCCCAGTCTGGTCTCAAACTCCTGGCCTCAAGTGATCCTCCCACCTTAGCCTCCCAAAGTGTTGGGATTACAGGGGTGAGCCACTGCACCCAGCCTAACCTACACTTTTCTGTCTGTAAGGTTTCAAGTTCTCCCTTCACTCCACATTTTCATCCCTCCTTTCACTCTGTTTTATCTAAGCAGTTCGGAGATTGAAGGTAAAACCAATACTCCCCAGATGTGAAGGTGTGGTTTCCTCTGTAGTCCTCCCCAGCGTCATCCTTAGGGGTGCTCCCCAGAGTTTGGTGCTCACACCTTGGCCAACAGCCATGCTTCTCACACCTGCACTCCTGTAGGGTGAGGGTGGGGGCACCCCAGGGTGGTGGATGGGCTTGACCCTAAAGGCTGTCTGCTGTGAGACCAAGAAGTGGCAAAGCCTCCTGGTATTTGTGGCAGGACGTCTCTGGCACTGTCTGTTGAGAGCCCCTGGCCTGTCGGTGCAGGAAGCCAGGCTTTGTGGTAATGACTGCTACTCCTGACTGAGCACTGCTATGTGCCAGGAGCTGATGGGCACTCTCTGTAATCTCGTCCCTTATTCCTTGCAGGAGGCCTGGGTGCTAAGTTACTGTCATTACTGTACCTCAGGAAAGGGTGGTGGGAGGCTTGGGTGGGCAGCTCTAACTATTCTCTTAGACTGTTGGGTGCTCCTGGCTGTGTCCCTAGAACATGGCCATGCCACCCTGCCCTGGGGAGGGAGCCTGGGCTTGGGTCCAGACAGAGCCTCGTGGTGGTAAGTACTCCATGTGGGCTGCCGGAGCCCGAGGCAGGGGTGGTTCTCCTGGTGTGGTGGCCAACAGTGCAACCCTGGACTCAACGGAGTAGGTTCCATCCTGCCCTTGCCTGCTCCCAGCCCCGGAAGGCTGCTCAGCCTCTTGTAGCGCAGGCTCCTCTGCTGCTAGTGATCAGAGTGGGTAAGTGCACCTGCGGCGGAGACTCATCAAGCACTTTGGCCAGTGCCTGGCATGCACGTGCTGTGTGCTTGGCGTTAGCAGGCTCTGCTGGTAGGTGAGCCGTTTGCCAGTCCGGGAGCAAGGGGTCAACCTGGAAGTGCAGATTTCCGTTTCTTCCAGGCAGGTCACCAGACTTCCTTCTTTTTAGGGAAAACGTGGAAGACTGTAGCTGTCCCTTTGGTGTTCTAAGCACTCACGTTTCTAGATTCTTTAAGAAAACGCTCACTCTGGTGTCTGGCTTCAGCCAGCTGCTGCTTTCAACAGTTGAGCAGTCCCCAAGCAGAGATTTGGGGCAGTGGAGATGGAAGGGTTGCCCCGTTCAGAACTAAAGGCGACTTCCGTAGTTGGTCGCGATGCTCAGGACGAGGCTGGTGAAAGTGGTCTTTCATTTTCCAAACCCTTAGGGTCAGGATCTTGGCTGCCGTGGTCTTGTCTTTCAGATGCGATGGATGAGCTTGGTCCAGGGTGGTTGGGGCTTCCACTTGGGGAAAAATCGAAAATGTTCATGTTCATTGGGAAGGAGCCTAGAGGCAGGATGTCCCCCGGCGGGGGGTGGGGGTAGGGTTGTGTGCTGTGTAAGGATCTTGGACTTGATCACCAGGGCCACGAGCATCAAGTAGCAGCATCAGTTTTTTGTTTTTTGTTTTTTTTGAGACAGAGTCTCGCTCTGTCGCCCAGGCTGGAGTGCAGTGGTGCAATCTCCGCTCACTGCAAGCTCCGCCGCCTCCCGGGTTCATGCCATTCTCCTGCCTCAGTCTCCCGAGAAGCTGGGACTACAGGTGCCCGCCACCACGCCCGGCTAATTTTTTTGTGTTTTAGTAGAGACGGGGTTTCACCATTTTCGCCAGGATGATCTCGATCTCCTGACCTCATGACCTGCCCGCCTCGGCCTCCCAAAATGCTGGGATTATAGGCGTGAGCCACCGCGCCCAGCCAGCGTCAGTTATTTTTACAGATCAGTAATGATTGTGGAGACCAGCGGTGTGAAGGTTCCAGGTGAGAGGGGGTGATAACCTGAACAAGGTGCATGGCAGGCCTGGAGAGGAGCCCCAAGAGGGCAGCAGAGATGGAATTAGGAAGACTGGTGTCTGGCAGCGGGGCTGTGCAACAAGGAGCAGCAGCTGAGGATGAGGCCCAGATTTCTGACCGTGTGGTGGTGGTGCGCCTTCACTAAGGGCCAGGCATGGGGAGCAGGTTTTGGCCGTTGAATTTATGTCTGTGCAGTGTCCCAAGAGGCAAACTTCTAGCAGGCGGTTGATGTGAACTGCAAGCGGGAGGCAGAATAGGAGTGTCTCTCCAGTCACGGGAGGCAGGCAGAGAGCCTCAGCCTCCCAGGAGCACAGGTGTGTCCGGGGCAAGCAAAGCGCAGGAGAAGTTGGCCAGGAGGAGGCCAGACCAAGGAAGGAGGAGAGCCCGAGATGTGGAATGTCCTGGAAGCTAAGGGAAGAGACCCCTTTCCCAGGGAAGGGGAGTGACAGGAGAGGAGGCCAGCAAACAGGATACCGTTGACCTCTGCAAGAGCAGATTTTTGGTGCCACGGCAAGGGAGCCATTTGAGGAATGAATGAGGTGTGGAAAGGTACGAGAACCAATGTAGACAGCCCTCCACAGAGCGTGGCTGCAGAGAGCAGTGACCGGCAGAGGACTGGGGCAGGGGAGGAGGCCCTCTGCTGTTTGGTTTTAAGATGAGCAAGTGGAGCAGGTTCAGACTGAAATGCAGGTGGAAATGTAGCTAGGAAGGAAATCAGAAAGGCCGGGGTCCAGGCTGCTCCTGTTCTGGGCTGGGTGGCCTCCAGGCAGGTCACAAGCAGCCCGATGCAGGAGGATTTGGGGATGAGTGCCTCTGCTTGAAACGGACCTTTCTAAAAGCTGCCTGACAGCACGCTGAACAGGATCCCCTTGGAAGACAATGGGGGAGGTTTTTGGACCCTGGAAGTTGAATGAGGAGCTTTTTAATCCCCCTTGACTTCCCCGCTCCTGTGGTGAGTGAGGGCCATTCGTGGGCAGACTGGCCATGTCTCTCTGGTGACATCCCAGAGCTTTTTTCTCTGCTTCTCTAGTTCAGTGCAGTCCTTTGGCAAATATATTTTTTCCGTGTTAAAGTCCTTTTTGTCCTTCCTAACCTTCTTAGGTATTCCTCGGCTTAGGAACAAAGAACATATTGCAGCTTTTGTGGTGTGTGAAGTTTTAAAAATCGATTCCCTTCCCATCTCTCTGCCAAGCGTATGAGCCTCTGAATTTCCTGGAGCTGGAGTCCCTGCCATCTTGGCAGCTTTCATTCCAGCTCTTGTTTCTTTTGCTCCGTCTGCTAGGGAACTTCAGTCTGGGGGCGAGGTACCAGCAAGGCACCCCTCAGTCAGTGCCAACTTGAGATGACATGCTGATTGTTTTGTGCAGACGCACCAGGAAGAGTGAGTGCTTCGGAGCAGTAATAAATAACTTGGACAGCTGCTCCTTGACTTACAAATGGGGTTATGTCCTGATAAACCCACTGTACGTTGAAAATACCTTGTCAAAAATGTGTTTGATACATCTAATCTACCAAACAAAATAGTTCGGCCTGGCCCACCTTAAACATGCCCAGAACACTTACTTTAGCTTGCAGTTGGGCAAAGTCATCTAACACAAAGCTATTTTAAAATGAAGTGTTGAATATCTCATGTAATTTATCGACTGCTGTACTGAAAGTGAAAGCAGAATGGTTATATGTGTTTGAAGTACAGTTTCTGCTGAATATATACTGCTTTTGAACCACCAAATTTGAAAAATTGTAATTTGAACCATGGTTAAGTCAGGGACCTTAATGTACAAAAGAACGTTATTGGCCAGGCGCGGTGGCTCAAGCCTGTAATCCCAGCACTTTGGGAGGCCGAGACGGGCGGATCACGAGGTCAGGAGATCGAGACCATCCTGGCTAACATGGTGAAACCCCGTCTCTACTAAAAAAAATACAAAAAAAAAAAAAAAAACTAGCCGGGTGAGGTGGCAGGCGCCTGTAGTCCCAGCTACTTGGGAGGCTGAGGCAAGAGAATGGCATGAACCCGGGAGGCGGAGCTTGCAGTGAGCTGAGATCTGGCCACTGCACTCCAGCCTGGGTGACAGAGCGAGACTCCGTCTTAAAAAAAAAAAAAAACATTATTGTTACTATTATTATTATTATTATTATTTTGAGATGGAGTCTTGCTCTATTGCCAGGCTGGAGTGCAGTGGCACAATCTCGGCTCACTGCAACCTCTGCTTCCTGGGTTCAAGTGATTCTCCTGCTTCAGCCTCCTGAGTAGCTGGGACTACAGGCGCACACCACCATGCCCAGCTAATTTTTTTGTGTTTTTAGTAGAGACAGAGTTTCACCATGTTGGCCAGGACAGTCTCTATCTCTTGACCTTGTGATCTGCCCACCTCGGCCTCCCAAAGTGCTGGGATTACAGGCGTGAGCCACCGCTCCTGGCCAAGAACGTTGTTATTATTATTTTTGAGACAGAGTCTTGCTCTGTCACCCGAGTTCGAGTGCAGTGATGTGATCGTGGCTCACTGTAGCCTCTGCCTCCAGGACTCAAGCAATCCTCCCACCTCAGCCTCCTGAGTAAGCTGGGGCCACAGGTGAGCACCACCATACCCAGCTAATTTTTAATTTTATGTAGTGATTGGGGTCTCCCTCTGTTGCCCAGGCTGGTCTCGAACTCCTGGCCTCAAGTGATCCTCCCAGCTCAGCCTCCCAAAGAGATGGGATTACAGGTGTGCGCCACCGTGCTCGGCCGCAGTCTCTGCTTTAAAGGAACCGAGCTCTGGTTTCCTGTCAGGAGCCAGATGATTGCCAGGATGCTGAAGAGTCTGAGCAGCTCCGACAGCGTGAGGAGCGTCAGCACGCTGCTTTTGTCTTTCTCACAGTATTCATTCATTCACCCAGGTGCTTTAGAAAACAGAAGAGAGAGGGTGGAAGAACTTACGCTCCAGCTGTTATTAACATCATAGAAATTGGGCGTTATGAAAGGGTACTTGGCATTGAAATAATTGGGATACCCTGGAGCCTGCTAACTAAAATTACACTTGAAGCTTTTCCAGGACTTTCTGCTTGATGTTGGCAAGACACACTGTCACAGCTGCTCGTGGCCCCGTGGAGCTGGCCCGCGGGCGGGCGTCGGTGTGCGTGGCCCCGTGGAGCTGGCCTACGGGCGGGCGTCGGTGTGCGTGGCCCCGTGGAGCTGGCGGGCGTCGGTGTGCGTGGCCCCGTGGAGCTGGCCTACGGGCGGGCGTCGGTGTGCGTGGCCCCGTGGAGCTGGCGGGCGTCGGTGTGCGTGGCCCCGTGGAGCTGGCCCCCGGGCGGCCGTCGGTGTGCGTGGCCCCGTGGAGCTGGCCCGCGGGCGGGCGTTGGTGTGCGTGGCCCCGTGGAGCTGGCGGGCGTCGGTGTGCGTGGCCCCGTGGAGCTGGCCCGTGGGCAGGCGTCAGTGTGCGTGGCCCCGTGGAGCTGGCCCGTGGGCGGGCGTCGGTGTGTGTGGCCCCGTGGAGCTGGCCTACAGGCCGGCGTCGGTGTGAGTGGTTCTACTCTGGTGGCTCAGCACATGAGAGGTGACCTTGAGTCCCTCCAGCTGCCCTTGCTCTGTCCCCCTGCTGCCATCTTTGGCTGCCATCTAGACCCCCCAGACGTTCTTCTTGGGATTCAGTCACACAACCACTGTTCCGGGGGATCTTCCAGGGCCTGCTTTCTTCTGTTCGTGGTAGAGTCATCCCAGTGTGGCAGGAAATGGAGAGTCGTGTGCCTTGTTTTAGAGGGAAATGGAGAGTCGTGTGCCTTGTTCTCGAGAAGTCTGAAAGCAAAGGAGTGAGTCCCTTTCTGCAGGAAACCTGTCACAGGGGCTGGCTTCCTGGGAGAAGGGAGTCGAGATGAGGCCTCTCTGCGCTGAGGTGGCTGTTTAGATCCTGGGCTTTGGTGCTGGAATCCGAGGCATTAACCAAAACCACAAGTCGCGCGTGGCCTTCCTGGCCTGGCCTGACAGGTTTGTACTCTGGCGGGGCAGCCGTGGCCCACGTAGAGACGGCACCCAGCACAAGCACCGAGGGTTAGAAGGTGTCTAGAAATGCGGTTCAGAGGGCTGAGTGGCCATCTCCAGGGGCCCTAGCCTTTCCTCCTGGAAAGCGGGGAGATGACTCGTGTGGCCATTTCCAGCTTTTTGTCCAGGGGAATGCAAGCATCCTGGAGAACTGTGCTTTTTTAAATCAAGCTCACGGGATGTAAAGTATGATCCACACAACGTGAACTTGACTTTTTGATTTCCCAAGAGAGTCTTGAAGCAGGTCCCCCTCACAGGCAGGTCCAGGCCAGTTTCCCTCAGTGTTTCTGTTAGTGACAAAGGAGGGCCTGGCTGGATGAATTGCTCCCATCCCCTGTCCTGGCCCTGTGCAGCGCAGGCCGGCAGCCCCCTCCACCTGGGGCTGTGGTACCTAAAGGTGGAGTCTGAGTTGAGATGTGCTGTGAGCATAAAACACACCAGATTCAGAGAGTGCAAAATAGACGAAATGTCTGTGTTTATTTTTTGGATTGATGACATGTTGAAATGCTGTTTTGACTATATTGGGTTACTTACAATATAAAACTTAATTTTGTGTGTTTGTTTTGACTTTTCTAACGCAGCCGTTCAGATTTTAAATTACTTAGGTGGCTTGCGTTCTGGTTTTTTCAGACGGGTCTAAAGTAGTGTGGATGAAAAGCACTTACCTGACACAGTAAATTCCTGAAGCCTCCCCAGCATTTCCCAACACTGTGAGACTTGGGCTTTTTTCCAAGTTTACATTCCCTCACTAAGCAGACAAACCAAACAGGAAGCTAACCTGAGAAAGAAAGACAGGGTAAGGCGGAAGATCAGCCTGGTGCTCCTCCTCCTGCACAGCTTGACTCCTGAGTGGTCAGCTGCCACGCGTCTCATCCCCTGGTTCACAGACCCTAATGGGCAGCTCTAAGAATTAGGAAAACGAAAAGATACACAGACACACACACGCACACACATACACACAGTCTATCTATCTTTCTATCTCTTTTTCATTTCTATCATAAGGACAAGAAGGAGTTCACATTTACATAGGATGGACAGCATATATATTTACTGTAAAAAAAAAAAAAAAAAAAAAAAAGAATTAGGAAAACCTCCCGAGGAGAGTCAGGCTGGGTGGCCTCACTCAGCCGCCCCGTGTGGACTGCCGCAGGAGAGCCTGCGTTTCCGGAGTCATGCCCTTGTTAGCCTGCATATGCAGGCTGGCTGCTGTGTGAGGCGCATGTGTTCTCGACTGGATGCTTGTCTGAACTGCATCCATGGCATGGAGGCGCACAGACCTGGAGCTGGATCCCAGCTCGGCCACCTCTGCCTGGGGGGCCTGTGCAGATGAGCAAGCATGAGCCCAGGGCTTCATTTTCAACCCGTGTGAAAATAAGGCCAGTCCTCATAGTCATGCTGGGCGTCTTAAGTAAAAACCTAGAAAAGAGTCTGGCTGTGCCTGACCCGCTGTAGGAACATGAACATTAGCCACGTCCTTTTGGTGGGCCCCGAGGGAGATGAATCAAAATGCGGGGGCCCAGCAAGCTGTTCCATGAGTGTCCTCCGCCCGCAGGGAAGTCCCACCTGGCCATCGTGCAGAAGGTGAACAACGAGGGTGAGGGCGACCCCTTCTACGAGGTCCTGGGCCTGGTCACCCTGGAGGACGTAATCGAGGAGATCATCAGGTCCGAGATCCTGGACGAGTCTGAAGACTACCGTGAGTCCAGACTCTTGGCAGTTACGTCTCCGCTGGGCCCGCGCACTTCCCCAGGTGTATGTTGCGTCCGAGGTCAGTGGGCCTCTGTGCTGCTGAAACCCAGCAAGATCCACAGCCAGGCCCCTTCTCAGCCCTGCCTGGGCGCTGGCAGGGAGCCGCCTTGCAGGAGGGCTTGCCTGGGGCTCCGTTAGCAGCAGTCCTGTTAGATTCCTCCATTACTGAGAGAGCTCTGCCCTTCATGGGCCTTTCCCAGCCTTCTGTCTCCCGAGGTGCTTTTGTTTTTGCAGGTTCTTTTGTACATTACAGAAATGTCCTCTGAAAGAACCCATTCTTTGCCATGAAGAAAGTCTTCCCGGCTGGACGCAGTGGCTCACGCCTGTAATCCCAGCTCTTTGGGAGGCCGAGGCGGGCAGATCACGAGGTTGGGAGTTCAAGACCAGCCTGGCCAATATGGTGAAACTCTGTCTCTACTAAAAATACAAACATTAGCTGGGCGTGGTGGCGTATGCCTGTAGTCCCAGATACTCAGGAGGCTGAGGCAGAAGAATCGCTTGAACCCAGGAGGCAGAGGTTGCAGTGAGTCGAGATCATGCCACTGTACTCCAGGCTGAGACACTGGGAGGGGGTGGAAATAAGTCTTCCCAAAGCAGCTGATCCCGGGCCCTTGATTTCGTGGTAAAAGTGTCTGCCTGTTAGGTTGGTGGCTGAGGTCTGCAGAGCTGCACAGAGCCTGCGCTTCATGGCCGGGCCCCCTGTCCCGCATGCTTCCAGAAATACTGCTTTACTCGTGTCAATTTTCAAACATAGCATTTCTGGTTCCATTCCTGAGACTGCCACAGGCCTGGGGTCTCCAGGTTAATTGCGGCCCTTTTGCACTGGTCATCCTTGAATACATGCTTTCTAGTGAGAAGTTTCTCAGTGGCCAGAGAGGCCTGTTACTATTTTTTAATTTTTAATTTTTTTTTTTTTTTGAGATGGTCTTGCTCTGTCATCTAGGCTGGAGTGCAGTGGTGCAGTCATGGCTCACTGCAGCCTCAACTTCCCAGGCTCGAGCTTTCCTCCCACCGCAGCCTCCTGAGCAGTTGGGACTGCAGGCGCGTGCCACCACACCTGTCTAATTATTTTATTTTTTGTAAAGACACGGTCTCCCTGTTGCCAGGCTGGTGGTGAACTTCTGGCCTTAAGTGATCCTCCCGCCTCGGCCTCCTGAAGTGCTGGGGTTACAGGTGTGAATCACTACATCTGGCCTAAATTAAAATAAAATTGAGTCCACGTCCAGTGACCTATCAGGGATGCCTGTTGTTTTATAAGAGCTGCTTTGTTATCATATCAGCGTTCTCTTCAGCCAGCTCCAAGGCAGGGAGCCACCCCTCGCTCTGTGTGGTTGGGGTGGGAGCAGGCCCCGTGGAGGGAGTGGTGCTGAAGACATGTCCCTGGGGCTCTGATGCTGCTCCGTCGAGGACCCCCTGGCCTCAGTAGGAAGGAGCAGGCGATGCAGTCCCTTGGTGTGGTGGTGTTGACTGACAGGTGGCTGATGCCTGAGCGTGCCCTCTTCTTCCATCTTAGGAGACACTGTGGTGAGGAGGAAGCCTGCTTCTCTGATGGCCCCTCTCAAGCGGAAGGAGGAGTTCTCCTTGTTCAAGGGGTCTGATGATGAATATAAAGTAAAAATCTCGCCTCAGCTGCTCTTGGCCACCCAGCGCTTCCTGTCCCGAGGTGAGGCGGGAAGGTGGTCCGCGCCCCCTGCTCTCCTCACCGTCCTGTGGGTCAGGAGGCCGCCCAGGGCCGACACTGACTCTGCTTCCCGCTCCTAGCAAGCGGCGCGTCTTGAGGACTTGTGTGTTCTCTGCAGCCCTGCCAGCATCCTGGGTCATGGGAGAGACAGCTCCTCTCTGCCAGACGACCAACAGCTAGGCCAGGCCAGCGCCACGCCTGGTGCCCCACAGCCAGGGGCCTCAGCTCTCAGCTGCGCGGGTGTGGGGTGCCCTGCCCAGTTCTTTTTTTTTTTTTAAAAAAAAAAAGACAGGGTCTCGCTCTGTCAGCCAGGCTGCAGTGCAGTGGCACGATCTTGGCTCACCGCAACCTCCGCCTCCCGGGTTCAAGCGATTCTCCTGCCTCAGCCTCCCAGGTAGCTGGGCTTACAGGCGTGCATCACCACGCCCGGCTCATTTTTGTATTTTTAGTAGAGGCGGGATTTTGCCATGTTGGTCAGGCTGGTCTCGAACTTCTGACCGCAGGTGATCCACCTGCCTCAGCCTCCCAAAGTGCTGGGATTGCAGGCGTGAACCACCGCACCTGGCCCCTGCCCAATTCTCTTGTGTTGAGGTGTGGGGGCAGCTGCTGACAGGCCACCCAGGAGAGCCCTGCGGGGCAGAATAACTTTTAAATTGCCTGCAGCGTTGGGTGTGGTTCCACCGGCCACTAGGCCCCAGTGGACACTGTCCCTTTTCCCTCCGGGCAGAAGTGGATGTGTTCAGCCCACTGCGCGTCTCGGAGAAGGTCCTGCTGCACCTGCTGAAGCATCCCAGCGTCAACCAGGAAGTGAGGTTTGACGAGAGCAACCGCCTGGCCGCGCACCACTACCTCTACCAGCGCAGCCAGCCGGTGGATTACTTCATTCTCATCCTGCAGGTAGCTGTGCGTCCAGGCCTGGAGCCCCTCCTGCCTCCTCAGGCCAGGGCAGGGTCTAGGAGAAGAGGGGAGCAGGGGCGTGCAGATACGCACCCTCCCGCCCCGAACAGTTGAGGTGGTGGGTTTCTCCTTCCGCTGTCTTCTGACGGGAAAGGTGATCTGGCCGCACCTGTTTCTCTCCTTGCCACTCCTCCCAGGGCAGGGTTGAAGTGGAGATCGGGAAGGAGGGTCTGAAGTTCGAGAATGGGGCCTTCACGTACTATGGAGTGTCGGCGCTAACCGTGCCATCCTCAGGTAAGCCGTGGCCCTGCTGGTGCTGAGGGTCAGGGTTGAGGCTGCAGAGCCTGTCTCCCATTGTCGCTTGGGCCCTCAGTGCCCCTCCTCGCCTCCCTTCCACCTGAGCCCACCGCCCCACGAGGTGGTGTGGCCCCTGGGCTTCCGGGCGGGAGGGCAGCATTCTTCCTCGCTCGACTTTGCGGCTCGCTCCACCCCTGCAAACCCTCTCCTGCCTGTGCTCATTCTCCTCTCCCTGCTTCCCAGGCACATCGCCTCTCCAGGGCGATTGGTGGGGTGGCTCTTCGAAGCTGTGCAGTTGTCCCCTCCAGAGGGGGCTCCCAGCTGCCAGCACTGGCTTCTGCCATCACTGATTGTTCCTTCGATAGTTCACCAGTCCCCGGTGTCCTCGCTCCAGCCCATCCGCCATGACCTGCAGCCCGACCCAGGTGACGGCACGCGTTCATCTGCGTATTGTCCCGACTACACCGTGAGGGCGCTCTCTGACCTGCAGCTCATCAAGGTGACTGCCTGGGCTGCTCGTGGGTGCTGACTTTAGCCGACTTTGTGTCACTGGGGGCTAGATCAGCTGGTCTGAGACGGCCCGGAGCAGGGCCTTCCGCTCATCCTGAGGGACACAGACCTTTGCACCCAGTTTCCCTGCGAGATCTTAAAAACACTTGACTCAGTTGCTCTTCCCTTAACTCGCTTAAACTTGTGCCTCTGCCCTCTTCTGGCATGGCGTGACCTTTCCTGCCTACCTTCTGCGTCTCGCTTCACCAGTGGGGTCTGCCAGTAACACTGTCATCCTCCAGGTTACGCGGCTGCAGTACCTCAACGCACTCCTGGCTACCCGAGCTCAGAACCTGCCACAGTCCCCTGAGAACACCGACCTGCAGGTTATGCCAGGCAGCCAGACCAGGCTCCTTGGTGAGAAGACCACCACAGCGGCAGGTGAGCGCTGAGTGGCACACTGTGCGCGGTGTCTGGACCCAAGGGCCGTGAGCTCACACACACAGACTTGCACTTTCGCCGCCCCCCCTCTGTCTTTTTTCTCTCTTTTCTCCGCATCCTTTTCCCTTCTTGTTTTTCTTTTTTTTTTTTTTTTTGAGATGGAGTCTTACTCTGTTGCTCTGTTGCCCAGGCTGGAGTACGACGGTGTGATCTCGGCTCACTGCAACCTCTGGCTCCTGGGTTCAAGCAATTCTCCTGTCTCAGACTCCTGAGTAGCTAGGATTACAGGCGTGAGCCACCATGCCTGGCCAATTTTTGTATTTTTAGTAGAGATGGGGTTTCACCATGTTGGCCAGGCTGGTCTTGAACTCGTGACCTCAGATGATCCACCTGCCTCAGCTTCCCAAAGTGCTGGGATTATAGGCATGAGCCACTGTGCCCAACCCCCTTCTTGCTTTTTTTTTTTTTTTTAATTCTTCATTATTCAACTTGAACTTTTTGCTATTTTTAATAGCACGGATGACGCCAAACTATAGACTAACTGGTATTTAAAGTAGAGTATAGTAAGTCAATATTTTCTCTCAAGGATCTCTTAGAATGGATTGACTTAATCAGAGAATTGTTGGGAAGTGGGAATAAGTTTTAGTTCAGACACTCTTTTGGCCATTTAAGATTAAGCTTAGGTCACTTGGAGTCAGCAGTGGCCCTGGCTTAGACGGCGTGTGGCTGGCAGACACCATCCTAGACACTAGAAGGACATTTGTGAGGAGTTTGGCCAGTTCATACTAATATTTAAGCGTGGCCCATCCAGGGCTCCACTGCGAGCGGGAAGATTGTGTTGGAAGAAATTTTGCAAATGGAACTAGAGGTTGTGGGATGTGAAACCCCATCCCCCCACTGCAAGGAGGGAGGTGAAAGAGTCTGAAGTGTAGGCTGTGGGTAGGAGTGGTGAAAGGTTTCTTGTTCTTGTTTTTCGAGAAGATACTTTAATTCTGATTGCGTTCCTAACGCTGGGGTCAGATCTGCCTGAACGTGAGGTTCCTGGAAGAGCCGGTGGGGCTTCCGGAGAGGCTGTGGAGGGAGCTACGGGTTTGCTTCCTCCCACCCCCACCTGCCCCACCATGAGGAAGATAAGCTCTTAGCAACGCTTCCCCCGCCAGGGCACTGCGCTAGGAGCTTCCATGTCTGACTCTGCTAACCTCCCTGTGGCCGGAGGGGCGCTAGCTCTTCTGCCCGTTCTACAGGGCAGGAAGGAGAGCCAGAGAGAAGGCCCAGGCACTCTGACCTGCTTCCTGTAGGCCTCCCATGGAGCCGCTCTGGCTACTCAGACCCACACTTGAGAGCACAAACATGTTTTTCTAATAGTCCTTTCTGAATTGTGAGGTGACGTGCAGGGGAGGGAAATCCCACCCTGGGCCACGTGGATGCCTTAGCCCCTGGGGGCTCCAGATCCAGGTGCTGGCAAAAAGGCAGCAGGGGAGGCCGTGCTGCTTCAGTCTTGGATCTGAGGATGGGCTGCATCTCTTTCTAAAGAGATCCCTCTAAGGATGGTGCCGCACCTTCTGTTCAGAGATAAGATCTTGCCATGTTGCCCAGGCTGGCCTCATACTCGGGACTCAGGTGATCCTCCTGCCTCAGCCTCCGAAGGAGCTGGATGAGCAGCTAGTGCCCCACCTTCTAGGGTTGCTGAAGCTTGACCCACGGTGATGGTTTCTTCTTGTTTGGGGTGCCCCTTCTACTGAAGTTCATACTGTCCCGTCACACTGGAGTCTCAGAGGCCAGGGCGGTGTGCTTTTCACAATGTGAGCCTTTTGGTTTTGGTTTTCCCACGTGAGCCCTTCTGGCTCACTGCCACCCAGACTGCACATGTTGTATCGAAGATACAGACCTAATCCCAGAATAGTGCTTTTCCCGTCATTGCATCATATCATATACCCAGAGATTTTTAAAAAATCTTCACGGGGCCGTCCTGTAAGAGAAGAGTTTATAGTGGCTTTGTGGGGCATTTCCTCTTGGTAATGGATTATTATTCTCTAGACACAATGTTGGTTATTTTCACCCAAGCACAACCTGACAGTTGCTCCAGTGAGGCTGACCTTCTCTTTCTGTTTCTTGCCTGAACTCGGCTTGTCCTGCGTTTTGTCCTGTGAGCTTGGCACTTCACTGTCCGGAGGAGCGTAGGGCCGCCGCACACCTGGAGATTTCGGTGGGGTGCTGCTTAAATCGTGCAGATGAGAACCAGTTTCTGGGGACCTTGGCACTAGACGCCCAACAGAGAAGTGCCTTTTTTGAGACTTGGAAGACACAATAATTTTAAATTGCCTACAGCAGGGTTTGGCAAATGGTGCAAGGGTCACATCTGGCCAGCAGCCTATTTTTGAGCATGAAGTTTTGTGAGAACCCACACATCGGTTTGTGGATTGCTGTGGCTGCCTTTGAGTTACAGCAGTGGAGCTGAGTAGCTGTGACAGAGACCATATAACCTACAAAAACTAGAAATATCGGCCTTTTACAGAAAGAGTTTTCTGACCCCTGGCCTACCATTTCAAACCCTGGGTAGGTCCTCCGCGTCAGTTCTCCGTGGAACTGTATCGCCGAGGGTAGGTCCTCCGCGTCAGTTCTCCGTGGAACTGTATCGCCGAGGGTAGGTCCTCCGCATCAGTTCTCCGTGGAACTGTATGGCCGAGGGAAAGGCGGCCCCCATGCTGTGCAGCCCTCCATGCTGTGCTCCCGGCTTCCTCAGCCGGCCGTCCTGAGCCAGGCTGTGGGGCAGTGCAGCGCCAGCACTGCGGCTGCCGGCTCCCCCTTGGCTTCCCCTGCTTGGGGCATCAGCCCTCTCCATGGTGCTGCCCGGAGCCAAGAGGCACAGCCATTTCTGCTCAATAGCTTCTCCTCTTCTTTCTCTCTCTGCTCTCTTTAGCCTTCCCAGTAGACCTTTCCCTCTTTGGCACAGTTGGAAACTGCAGTTGATAAATGACTGTGGACTAGTGCGCGTTTTTTGTTTTCAGAGCACACCCAAGGTAAATATCTTCCCTCTCCCTGCCCCTTCGCTTTCCTCTCCTGGCCCTTCAGCTGTGGGAGGAGCAGAGCCCTCGGCTCTCCAGGCTGGGGGCCTTTTTTCTCCAGGGGTGCGGGGTGGGCGCTCCCTTCCATCCTTCTGGAAGACAGGAGGGGTCACGAGACTCTTCCACTGTGGAAAATGGTGCTTCCTTCCAGCACGGGGTGCTGTATTGTCCCGGGAAGGTGCCTCTTGTTCAGTATAATGACCTGGGACCCCCTGGGGCCAGAAATCCACAGCCCCAGCTTCCCCCATGTCCCAGGGAAGGCATCTGTTGGCTGACCATCTGCTAACCGATCGCTCCTGGCTCTGCTCTGATACCTCCCAAGGCCTCCTGAAGCCCCCGTCTTAGCTGCCCCTTCCTGTCCCACAGAGGATTTGGCACTTGGTTTTGACAGGTCCCTTTACCAGCTTTGATGTGAATTTTCCTTCCCTTGTCTTCTGTAGGGTCCAGCCACAGCAGGCCCGGCATCCCGGTGGAAGGCAGCCCCGGGCGGAACCCAGGTGTCTAACTGCTCACTAGGCAGCCCCAGATCTGGGGAACAGATGAGCACGTGGGGAGCTGGAGTGAGCTGAGCAGAAGCTTCGTGCCCGCCTGCCCCCATCCCCTCCAGGCCACGTTTTAGATGGCCCTTGTAGATGCGGGTCCTGGGTGTCCTCAGAACTAGACATCAGTGCCTGGATCCTTCAGCCGGTCCTGCCCTCCTTTAGGAGACAGGAGTCACCAGGGCACAGCCCTCCAGGCCCGCGTCAGGAAGGAACGAAAGGAATGCCATCATCTCTAGTCCCCAGGGCCCAGCCTTCCCCTTCTCCCCCGAGGCTGGGACCGTGTGGCGTATTCAGATTCAGACCTCTTCGGGCCGAGCCACCTTGTGAGTGCAGTTACTGCCTTTATGTGGCCGTGACCTGTACTCGTTTGCTTTTAATTTGCCAACCTATCGCTGCTGGCAGCACTTTTCGAGCAGGCCAAGTGCACCCATTTTGGCTGGGGGTTCAAATCGATGGCCTTGTCCATGGCGTCCTTTCTGGCTTCCCTAACGGTGTCATGTTTCAGAGCATGTGCCCCAGCCTTTCCCATGTGCCAAACCAGAAGCTCCACTGCCCGGAGGCTGTCCCTGTAGCCCTGCACCCTCCCTGGAGGCTGCTCTTCTGATCCTGAGAGCTGGCCTAGTGGTGCTGAGGGCTCCTTTCTGCTTCTCTGCCCACCTGCTGAGTTGCCACTCACAGCGTTGTCAGTTCCTGTGTTCTGAGAAGAGGTCACGCCTGGGAGGAAGGGATCGTCATGCTGCATCGAATCCTCTCTGCGCTGTGTGGCCCCGGGAGCGTAGCTGCCTGTTGCACCTGCTCCACACCTCTCCACGGCCTCCCTGCAGGTGCTGTGTGGTGTGATGTGCAGAGAGCAGCGAGGGAGGCTTTAGGAACCAGGTGGATCCTCTTTACAAAAAAAAATCAGTTTTTATTATATCTCTAGAACATTTCAAGTCTTTTCGTTTTTTTCTGTTCCCAGCTGTGGGGTTTTAGAGAAGTGGGAACTGGAAGGCGTTTGTCTTTTTCTTCTAATTTACTACATTTTCCTTCCGTAGTTCTTCAGCTGTGTGGAAATGGGCATCACAAGGACACAGGATCATAGATTGGGTAGGGAGGGAGGAGGATTTCTGGAACTTTTCTCAAAGGAATTTGGACCCTTAAAAATGGGACTGAAGGTCAAAAGAACAGTGGTATGCTTGCTTAGAAATTGTCCTCAAGGAATCAACTGTGAGAGCAAGCCCGGTTTGGAAACAGATGCATTAAAATCCTGTCTCCAGAACAGTATTTTTTTGTTTGTTTGAGACGGAGTCTCACTCTCTTGCCCAGGCTGGAGTGCAGTGGTGCGATCTTGGCCCACTGCAACCTCCACCTCCCAGGTTCAAGCCATTCTCCTGTTTCAGCCCCCTGAGTAGCTGGGATTACAGGTGTCCACCACCACACCCGGCTAAGTTTTGTATTTTTAGTAGAGACAGGGTTTCACCATGTTGGCCAGGCTGATCTCGAACTGACCTCAGGTGATCTGCCCGCCTTGGCCTCCTAAAGTGCTGGGATTACAGGCGTGAGCTAAGAACAGTGATTCTTAACCTTGGCTGCACATCAGAATCACCTGGTATTAAAAATACCTGGACCTGCCACCAAAGCTTGTGATTTAATCAGAGTCTGGGCATCAGAGTTTGCAATTTTTTATTTATTTTATTTTTTATTTTTATTTTTTGAGACAAGATCTTGCTCTGTCACCCAGACTGGAGTGCAGTGGTGTGATTACAGCTTGCTGCAGCCTCGACCTCCCTGGTTCAGGCCATCCTGCCACCTCAACCTCCTGAGTAGCTGGGACTGCAGGTATGCACCACCACACCCAGCTAATTCTCTTAATCTTTTGTAGAGCTAGGGTCTCATTATGTTGCCTGGGCCAGTCTCGAACTCCTAGGCTCAAGCCATCCTCCTGCCTCGGCCTCCCAAAGTGTTGAGGTTATAGGCGTGAGCCACCATGCCCAGATTCACAGAAGAGGTTCATACACCTTTCACCGAGGTTCCCTTAATGTTAACATCTTACATATAACCTTGGTACATTTAACAAAACTAAAAAATTAACATTGGTGCAATCGTACTATTAGAGTTTATTTGGATTTTACCATTTTTCCCCAATGTCCTTTTTCTGCTGTAGCAGCCAATCCAGGATGTCATGCTGCACTTAGAGCTGTTGCTTTCTTTTTTCCTAACTTTATATTTTGAACTAATTTCAGAATATAGGAAGTTGTAAAGATAAGGGCCTCACGCAGCCTTCATCTGGTTTCCCTCCGTGGTTACATCTTACGTGATTGTAATGCAGTATTCCAAGCAAAACTTTGACACTGGTGCAGTGTGGGTGGACAGTCCCAAATCATGTGTCATATGTACATCTGTGTAACTACCACTGCAATCACGATAAATCCCATCCCCACAAGGATTTCCCTTCCCGCCACCCCTAACTCCTGGCAACCACTAATCGTTCCGTCTCTTATTTTGTCATGTCAAGAATGTTGTATAAATGGGAGCATAGTGTGTAAGCACTTGGGATTGTCTTTTTTTTTTTTTTTGAGACAGAGTCTGGCTCTGTCGCCCAGGCTGGAGTGCAGTGGCGCGATCTCAGCTCACTGCAAGCTCCGCCTCCCGGGTTCCCGCCATTCTCCTGCCTCAGCCTCCCGAGCAGCTGGGACTACAGGCGCCCGCCACCTCGCCCGGCTAGTTTTTTGTATTTTTAGTAGAGACGGGGTTTCACCGTGTTAGCCAGGATGGTCTCGATCTCCTGACCTCGTGATCCTCCCGCCTCAGCCTCCCAGAGTGCTGGGATTACAGGCGTGAGCCGCCGCGCCTGGTGGGATTGTCTTTTTCACTCGGTGTCCTCGGAGATCATCCAGCGTTGCATGTGTGTGTTCAGTTTGCTCCTTTTTGTTGCTGAGTGGTATTGCGTGGTGTACACATTGGTCCCGTGAAGGACACCTGGGATGTTTCCAGTTTGGGGCTATTCCAAATAAAGCTGCTACGACTGTTGATGTACAGGTTTCTGTGTAAAGATTAGTTTTCCAGGAGTGTAAATGCTCGGCCATAGGGTTGTTGCATGTTTCGTTTTTTAAACCATCAAACTCTTACATCCTCACCAGCAACCTAGGACAGTCAGTTTCCCCGAATCCTCCGCAGCACTTGGTGGTGTCGTGTTTTTACTTCAGCCGTTCCGACAGGTGTGTCGTGATGCCTCACGGTGGTTTTTCATTTGCGTTTCCCAGTGATGGACACCTCCCGTGTTCCCCTGCAGTGGAATATCCCTGTCTTTCACCCTTTTCTGATTGGATTGTTTTTTCTGTTGAGTTCTGAGAGTTGTTTTGAGATTGCTTTATGGGATTTTTGGTTTGCATTGGTCTGTAGCTTATCTTTTTCATCCCTACCCCCCCTTTTTTTTTCTGAGACAGAGTCTCACTTTGTCACCCAGGGTGGAGTGCAGTGCCACAGTCTTGGCTCGCTGTGTACTTGACTCCTGGACTCAGGCAGTTCTCCTGCTTTAGCTCCCCAAGTAGATGGGACTATCACCACGACCAGCTAAATTTATTTTTATTTATTTATTTATTTTTTGCGATGGAGTTTTGCTCTTGTTGCCCAGGCTGGAGTTCAATGGCAGGATCTCGGCTCACTGCAACCTCCGCCTCTCCGGTTCAAGCGATTCTCCTGCCTTAGCCTCCTGAGTAGCTGGGATTACAGGCATGCACCACCACACCCAGCTAATTTTGTATTTTCAGTAGAGACGAGGTTTCTCCATGTTGGTCAGGCTGGTCTCAAAACTCCTGACCTCAGATGATCCGCCTGCCTCAGCCTACCAAAGTGTTGAGATTACAGGCGTGAGCCACCATGCCTGGCCTACGCCCAGCTAATTTTTTTTTTTTTTTTTTTGAGACGGAGTCTCGCTCTGTCGCCCAAGCTGGAGTGCAGTGGCCGGATCTCAGCTCACTGCAAGCTCCGCCGCCCGAGTTTACGCCATTCTCCTGCCTCAGCCTCCCGAGTAGCTGGGACTACAGGTGCCCGCCACCGCGCCCGGCTAATTTTTTTTTGTATTTTTTAGTAGAGATGGGGTTTCACCGTGTTAGCCAAGATGGTCTTGATCTCCTGACCTCGTGATCCGCCCGTCTTGGCCTCCCAAAGTGCTGGGATTACAGGCTTGAGCCACCGCGCCCGGCCACGCCCAGCTAATTTTTTATAGAGATGGGGTACCATGTTGCCCACACCTGGTCTCAAACTCATGAGCTCAAGTGATCTGCCTGCCTCAGCCTCCCAAATTACTACAATTACAGATGTGGGCCACTGTGCCCAGCCATCTTTTCACCCTCTTGGGGTTTTATACAGAGCAAAAGTTTTCAGTTTTGATAAAGTCCACTTTACTGATTTTTCCTTTATAGACTGTTGCTTTTAGTGTTGCATTTAACAACTCTACGTAAGGCCGGGCGCGGTGGCTCAAGCCTGTAATCCCAGCACTTTGGGAGGCCAAGACGGGCGGATCACGAGGTCAGGAGATCAAGACCATCTTGGCTAACACGGTGAAACCCCATCTCTACTAAAAAATACAAAAAAACTAGCCGGGCGCGGTGGCGGGCACCTGTAGTCCCAGCTACTCGGGAGGCTGAGGCAGGAGAATGGCGTGAACCCGGGAGGCGGAGCTTGCAGTGAGCTGAGATCGCGCCACTGCTCTCCAGCCTGGGCGGCAGAGCGAGACTCCGTCTCAAAAAAAAAAAAAAAAAGAACCCTACGTAGTCTTAGATCCCAAAGGTTGTCTGTTTTTCCCTAAAAGTTTTATAGTTTTACATTTAAGTATGTATGTGAGCCATGTTAGTTTTTGTATAATGTGTAAGACTTAGGCTAAAGTTCTTTTTTTTAGCGTATCGTTTTCCAGCTGCTCCAGCACCGTTTGTTGAAAGGTTGTCCTTCCTCCATTGAATTACTTTTGCACCTTAAAGTCAGCTGGGCATATTTGTGTGGTCCTGTTCCCATGATGTTCTTGGCTCTGTCAATGTGTGTGTCTGTCCCTCTGCCAGCATTGCACTCATGGTTCACATAGCTATATAGTAGATCTTGAAATCAGGTGGACAGATGCCTCTTCTCACTTTATTCTTTTTCAAAATATTTTTGCTATAAATTTTTATACGGATTTTAGAATAACCTTGTCTACATCTACAAAACATCTTTGAGGATTTTGATAGGAACTGCATTCAACCTGTAAATCTGAGGAGAATTGATATCTTTACTCTATTGTGTCTAACAATCCGTGAACATGGCATGTCTATTTAAATCTTTGATTTCATTATGTTTTGTAATTTTCAGCATACAAGTCCTTGCCTATTTTGTTAGATTTAAACCTAAGTATTTCACTTTTTAAGCAATTGTTAACAGTACATATTTTTAACTTTTGTGTCTATATGTTCATTTCCAGGAGGTAGAAACAGGTTTTATGTGTTTATCTTGCACCTGAGGTTTGCTGGACTCCCTAGGTGTCTGCTTTCTATAGATTGGTAGGATTTCCCACATAGACAAGCATGGCCTCTGCATGAGAATACCTGGATCCTCCCCTCAGGGCTTCTGACTTAGGGTGTGGACATCAGGACTTTTTAAACCTTCCTGGTGATGCTGACAAGCAGCTGAGGTGGAGAACCACTGCGCTCTGACCTTGTCGTCAGCGAGCAGAGATGCATTAAGCAAAAGAGCCTAGTGCTAGGACCCCGCATCCTGCCCACTCTGCACTCCTGCCGCTTGCTGCCGGCCGGCATGGCTAACAGGCCTGGGCCCTAGCAGACAGTCCCTGGTGATTGAAGCATGGGCTCCTCTCAGCCCAGGAAAGACAACTAGGCTGTAATGGATAGCCCGTTTTAATGAACAGAAGATACTGATCGGTATAAAAAGGGGTGTTTGTCACTGAGGTGTCCTCATTTCTAGATGAGGATTTGTCTTCTCCGTGGTCTTGAACGCCTGCTTCGCCGTGGCACCAGCGTCTGGTGCACGCTGGCTCTGTCGCCACAGGGCAGGAGCTGCTCATGGAAAGGTATGTGCCCCGAGTGTGGAGCACTGGTCAGCTTTTCCACTTCGTAACAACAGCCTTGTTGTGGGCCTGAGAAGGCCACCAAAGGCAGACTTAAAAAGAAGCATGGCCAAATGCCTATCAGCCCGGTACCTAATGTAACCCGGGACCCATGTGAGGGAGGCTGAGCCTTCACCTTTCAGCCCTTCCCTCAGCACATGGTTCTCAGTTTAGGGCAGAGCTTGCTAAG